GCGCTCTCTCCCCGGGGGACGCGGGGGGCACAGGCCGCCTCGGCTCTCCCACCTGCAGCGCCCGCGCGCTCCGAGCCCGCCTGGGCGTGCAGCAGCTCCGGGCTCGCGGCGAACACGCAGGTGGGGTGCAGCACGATGCCCTGCTTGCTCCTGGTGTGGAAAATCTGCGGCGCGAGCGGAGGCGGCCTCAGCGCGGGGCAGCCCCTCCGCCGGGACGCGGGGCGAGAGGGCCGGCGCGGGAGCGCACGGACCTGGTCGGAGTCCTTGCGGCCGCTGTTGAGCGGGTCGGGCAGCGCGAGCTGCGGGTAGAGCCCCCGGCACAGCACCAGCTGGAGCAGCGCGAGCTGCGCGGGCGAGAGCGCGGCGCCCGCGGCCGCCTGCAGCTGCTCCACGTCGTGCCGCAGCTTGAACTTGACGTCCTGCCGGGACGGCACGCGCTCGGGAAGCGGCCGTGGCGCGGCCCGCGGGCCCCGGGGCCGGCCCCGAGCGGCACCTGGATGTCGATGCCGCGCTCCCCGCGCCGGTCGGCACCGCCSGCCTCCTCTTCCTCGCTGGAGGAGCCGCCGGCCCCGTCCTGCAGCCGCAGCACCTTCCGCTTGCGGCCTTCCGTCTCGGCGTGGCTCCGCCACAGCCGGTGCAGCTCCCGGCGCTCCCGGTGCCGGCTCTGCCGGCTGTAGCTGTCGCTGGGCCGGCTGGACGCTGCCTCCAGCAGCTGGTGGTCTTGGAGCAGCTCCTGATGGGAGGAGGTTTGGGGGGCAAGTTGAGCTCCCCTAGAACCACATCTCGGTGAATTCCGGGACGCAGAGGCCGCACCTGGAACTGGCGCCGCAGGTTGGCGGCCTCGTAGAGCCGATGCTCCTCCAGGCCTCGCCGCCGGCACCACTTGCGGGAGTTGCCGCCGCGCTCCGATTTCACCTGCCGGGCCAGCGCAGCTCGGGATCAGCCGCCCGCCGAGGTGCCATCCCCATCCGCACGCCAGCTGCTCCCCGCGGGCTCAATCCGGCCCCGGAGCGGCGGGATCCCCACCTGGAGCCACTCGTTGAAGATGTTGAGCAGCGTGAGGGGGTCCCCGTGGGGGCTCTCGAGGGGCCGCCGGGCCGTGGCGCGCTCGGGGTTGCCGGGGGCCGCCCGCAGCAAGGGCGACTGGACGCTCAGCGCCGCGGCCACGGTGAGCGCCGGCTCGGCCAGGCCCAGGAGCGCGCCCAGCACCAGCACCTTGCCTGCGCGGC